ACTACATACAAGTTTAACGAATTATGTTTAAGTAATTTTTATTATTTATATTGAAACTTATCTTTATACTTATAATAATACAATGTATCAATTTCTATTCAAAATATATTTATTATATGACAACTAATCTCTATACTAACAACCATTTATATATATCATAGTAATGCATTGTGTAAGGACCACGTAAATGCACATGAAAATTACAATGCCTACTAAATACTCATTATTTAGTTTTGAACATTTACATCTAGAATTTATTTTCAGTCAAATTTGTAATTTATATCAGTCCTACATATAATAATATTTTAAAACGAGTCAAATAATTCTAATTTGTAATAAGTCAAAATAAAATATTTTAGATACTCATATTAAACAAAAGTACATCTAATAAATGCTTGAAATAGTCCATCCAAAGAAAACTTCGTCTAAAACAAATATTAAAAAAATGGCACAATAATGACAAACACTTTTTTATAACTAAAAAGTTTTAATACCACTTTTCATATTAAAAAAAAATAATTATAATAAAAATAGAGAAATTTAGCTATGATTTGTTTCTAAACTATGATTTAAATTTTATTTAAAAGTCATTACTGAATGAAAAAAAGAGAGCAAAAAAGCTTAAAAACCGCCTAGTAAAAAATATAATATTTATTTATGTAATTATATGTATTAACATTTAAAAAGTACTCACAATATACAGGGACTGAAGATAACTGCTATTTTAAAAATTCTTAATGAAAAAAGCAGCAAAAAACAATTTTTTGAACTTATATTTAAGTATATAGCTTTAATTCTAACAACTTTCATCCTTAATTTAATACATGCTTAATATATGAGCGTTTTAAAATAAAACTCAAAAAATTGTAATTAAATTTGTTTTATATAATAATTATTAAAATTAATAAAATCATATTTCTTTTATTTTTTTCAAGCACAAATAACTCTTAAACTCTGCTTTTTATTTTAAAACGCATAAATAACCATAATTTTTGCCTTCAAAATGTGAAGATCAAGGATAACTTTTATTTTTGAAATCAATCATGGCGTGACAGATATTTTTAAAAATGAAAATATAAAATGCATTTTGATATGTAAGATAGTTATTTTTGTAGTTTCATACGAAATGTATTTAAGAATTGGAGCAGTATTACCAAAAGACTTCAATAGGAGATATTCGCAGTCACAGTCAGAAATTAAAATATCTCTCAAAACTAATGCGGAAATTATAATAAAGTAGTAAGTAAATTATAATAGTGATAGTATCATGTGCAGTTAAACTTTTGTGAATATTGAATCCAAAATATTCAAACCGAATAAATTTAAAGTTCAGAAAATGAAAAAATAATCTTACAACTTACTAAAATGCATGTGCCATAAGAGAATAGTTTAATAGAAGTTTTGGGTCAAAATTGTATCAATTAATGGTCATCATAACATTTTATAAATATATAAATATCAAAGAGAAATAAAAAACTATATACACTTATGTACTTAATTTAAAATATATAGGATGAGATTATGTAATCTTAATCTTAGCTGTCAAAGTATAATAAATAATTAAGTGATACAAGGTTGTGATTTTTTTTCTTAACACTGTTTCTTTTTCAACCAATTCATGATGAATTTTGGGACTCATTTTAATCACCCGAATGCAGTGCAATGATACCTTGAAAAGTGAAAGCTTACCAGAGTTACAAATGTACTTTAAAATGCGTCTACTGTACCAATACGTATACATCAGATCCTACAAAATTATTTTATCAGCTTCCAAACAACTGTTTAGTGATTTTTGGAAGTTAACCGATTGTTCGCTAATAAATTAAACAATTAACAAAATTAATATTTATACCATATAACAGTATTTTTAATTTCCTATTGTTTATATAAATACTATATATGTATACACAATATAACTATACTTTTACTTTTAACCGTCTTATGGAATATGTCTTACATATTATTGTTACATTAAATATTGCATAGTATAGTTATAAATTATTTAACTATTCTTATACACATTAACTGTGAATCTGAGCAAAAGGAACAGTTCTATACATGCAACTCAATAGCATCTTGCACAAAAAAAGCATTCATTTTAACAAAAATATTTGTATATTTAACTTGTTTAGCATTATTTTTTCTTCATATATTTCATATACTTCTTAGCATTAAAACTATCGTCAACTTCTTCAACCATTTTAACCTTCTTGCGTGGTTTGCGTGCCTCTAAACGTGCTTTCCGTGCAGCCTCAGATAGCGTACTTAAATCCAACGGCAACTAAAATTAAATAATAAAATCAATTATATGAAAAATATATATACTCTTCAAAGATACTTTAATAATTTTTCTGGGCTCATGATATCGTATAGTTATTGTGGAACCATCTGGCTGCACAACCACTGTTGGATACATGCGACTATAAACAGAGCGATGAAGACGTGTGACTGCTGCCGTTGCTGAAGATAATGAACGCAACTGATGTTGTCCAAATGTTGCTAAAGGTTGTAACAGCATTATTATAATTGTTAAATACTTAGTTTCTATTTTAACGTAAATAAGCAACAAAGAAAACAATTTATGTTAAGTAACCAAATGAAATAAAGAACAGCTGACTTACAAGCAAAAAGTGTTCGGAAACCTAATTTCATCAATTCCGTTTCGGTGACGTTTGTGTACTGAGGCAATGCTGATTTTGACAGTTTTTCAATTGCTGTTTTTCGTTGCTGAAAGCAAAGTTAGTAAGGCTTGATTTTTTGTAAAGAAAATTTTGCGTAAGGTTTTTGTAAGATTAAGTTGAATTTTAATATATAAGTGAAATATGGATTTTATTATTGGAACAAAAAAATTACATTTGCATTGAAATTGCAGACAAATCTTTCAATAAATTACACAGAATAAGACGTGAATTCAATACATTGCAAATTACATAATGGATACATGTACCGAATTGCTAATGAATGTGTTATATTTAGAATTAATTTAATTTTAAATATAAAAAAAAGTAGCAAAACTATATTTTTAATTATATTAAATAGTTTTGCAAAATCAATATATAGTCCGTCGAATGAACACTTTCATAACCTCACTTTAAATCTTTTTTAATATTTCCAGATCGACAAAGCATCAGATATGGCATCTCGTCGTGTTACTCAATCTGCTATCAATTGGGCAGCAATAGCTGAACGTGTACCAGCAAATCAAAAAACCAGCTTTGGCTCTTTCAAAGCTAAGTCCGATACATATATACGTGCTGTTTTGGCTAATCCCGAAAATCCACCAAAAATCGATTGGGCGCACTATAAACGCATTATTCCACTTCCTGGATTGGTGGACAACTTCCAAAAACAATATGAAGCTATTCAAATTCCTTATCCTAAGGATAATCTTGGTGGTCAAATAGAATCACAGATTAAAGAAACTAAAACTGAAATAGAAGCTTTCAAGAAAGGCTCTGAAACACGTATTGTTGATTATCAAAAAAAGATTAGTCACCTCAGCTCACTACTGCCATATGGCCAAATGACTATGGAAGATTATCGTGATGCATTCCCCGAATCAGCCTTAGATCCCATTAATCGTCCTACTTTCTGGCCACACAACCCAGAAGAACAATTGGATTATCAATCTAAGGAACAAGAAGGTGCAGGTCATTAAATTCGATGCAGTGTGACTTTAGAAAACATGCATAACGATGCAATATAAAATCTGATTACAAATGTGTTTACAACTTAATTGAAATTATTAAAAACTATTTCAAATTGATTTGCGTTATCTTTTTCGTTTAATATAATTAATGTAATGTCTATACTTTATATTTTAAGATAATATTTAACTTGTAAATTTACAGTGCTATTTGAATGATTAAATTTAATGTTTGTAGTTCCTTAGAACAGATAGGTCAATTAAATTAAAAGTACGGATATGGCAGCGCAAGAGCATAAAGAAGCATAAAGAACATTTCAAACGAAGTAATATTTCTATTACGATAAGGAATTGGAGAATCACTTAAAGATTGTTAAATAAAATTATAGTGGAATATGTAGTTTTCTGTTAAGATCGTTAGTCATTTGCGTCATGTCATGAATTCTACATAAACTGCATAAATCCTGATTTATAAAATCGTAGTTATGAATATTAGTACTTCGTCCTATCATATTATTAATTATCTTGTATATGGTGTAATAACATTGTAATACAGTGTTAATTTGAAGTCTTTTCTGGACAACTTTTTCGACTGGGTATTACAATTAACAAATCTCAAATCTTATGGAACCATATGATAAATAAACTGTAAACTCTCTTAAAGATTTCATTATAATATTTATGAACTTTATTTCATTTCAATTTTTGCATATCAAGAATCCTAGCCGAGTGACAATAACTTTATATAATATTTGTGATGTATATAAATGTACGTATAAAATCCTTTGATGAATATCATTACTTACAGAACAAAATCGTTCTGTAGCAGTATCATTACCAGTATTATGTTTGCAAAAACTATGGCTGAAATTGTGACAAACAGAAATAAAAAAATTGTTTTGAAGAAACATGATAAGATTATTAGGAGATACTTTATTATCCCCATGTATGTGTAAAGGAATATAATTGTACATATCAACATTGAATCCAAACATTTCTATGTAATTCTCTGCACATAACCTTCCTCATAATAACTAACACCTACAACCCATTTAATCGGCTTGTAATATATTTAGTCTAATTTTTTGCTCTATGGATTTAAACATTTATAAAATATTCTTTCACTTAACAATGAGATAGGATAAATTACTTATTAATTACATACGTGTATGAATTCAGAATATAAATTAACCTGTTAAATGTGGAATAATGGTGATAATTCATACATCCATGTTGATTCCAATGATCATGTCATCCATTTCTGTGTTCCTTTAAAAGCATATTTGAGCTTAAAATGGCAATGCTGCCAAGTCTTATGCGGTTTTCAACTGTCAAAATCAGCTGTCATCTTTTCCTTGTCGCTGCAATTTGTTTCTTTGGCTTTGTTCTGTTACGTTTTTGTTCAATCTGTAGATATTAACAAATGTGTGTGAAGTGAATATAGAAGTTATTTTCGTAATACCAAAAACGTCTGGTACTGCAATAGGTAATTCTCGACAATTTCATTTCTTATTTATTATTTTTATTTCTGTTCGCATCATATTAACACCAACAAGAAGTTGATTAAGTAAATGTTGCATGAACTACTTAACAATTTTTTTGTGCAATCGAAAACCCACAATGCTCTCAAGACGGGGCAAAGACAAGGTTAATAACAATAAAGAGGGCGTTGTAGGTAAATATGTAAAGAAGGAAACTCCATTACCATCATTAATTAATGTTTGGTCATTTGATGACCAACGTGCGCATACTAAAAAATCTTTACAAAGATGCGCTAGCACTTCGCCTAGTTGTGAGTTTTCAAATAGTCGTAATACATACACTTGCGGTGATAACCAATATAATGCGCAGCCCGATTATTATCACTCACGACGAGCGCAGTCACAATTGCCCCCATCGAGTCATCATTACCCTGCAACCACCCAACGTCAACCACATCGAGGGCCGCTAACAACCCAACATGCTCATTTCTACTCAACTAGAAATTTGGACATAAATAGCAGCGGCAAAAGTAACAGCAGCAATAGTAGCAACAACAGCAATTATGTTAATATTGAACAAATTGAACGGATGCGTCAGCAATCTTCGCCGCTATTACTGCCTCCAAGTGGTTTTGACCGATTTCAACGCAGTTATTCAACAAATAACAAACATACGCAATCAAATGAAGTCTGTCCAATATATGAAAATTCGTACCGTGTTTCATCTACACCTGGAATCAATACTGCTTCTCTTGCCACTGATAGTCGTTCTTCGCTTTCAGTTGCTGGCAATCGATCAGAATCTCCCATTTACAGTAATACAACATCATTGACTACTATTAACAATAGTGGAAGTAGTAATATGCATTCAACTTATGAACTTGCACATAACAATAATCGGCTAATGCCACCTCCGCACACCACACCACACAGTGGAAACTCGGTGCAATCATTATATCATGCTTCATCAACGCAATTGCGACCACAGGTGCATGTGACACCAGCTGGTAGTGAAGTATTGCACAAAGTGCCTTCACAACAATCACTTGAAGAGGAATTGCCATTACCACCTGGATGGGCCACACAATATACCCTACACGGCCGAAAATACTATATAGATCACATCAATTACACTACTCATTGGTCACATCCACTTGAACGAGAAGGTTTACCAGTCGGTTGGAGACGTTTGGTTTCGAAAGTACATGGTACTTATTATGAAAATCAGGTAAATAAGAATAGAATAGCAGCTAAAGTATTCATTATATATCACACTATACTAGTTGTTAAAAAACTTTAAAAGGTTTATATAATGGTCTTGAAGTTTATATATTGTATATATCTATGAATATTATATATGGTGTGCGATGTTAATGTATCCTTTCCTTACATCTAGTATACTGGCCAATGTCAACGACAGCATCCTTGTCTTACCTCATATTACGTTTATACGGCTCCGGTAGAACAAACTCAAGCTATAAGACCAGAACCGGTTCCTTACTCACCACCTGCACATACGCATAACGCATTAGTACCAGCAAATCCATATTTATTAGAAGAAATACCAAAGTGGTTGGTTGTTTACTCTGAAGCAGACTCTTCAAAGGATCACATGTTACAATTTAACATGTTTAGTTTGCAAGAATTGGAATGTTTCGATGGTATGTTGGTTCGACTTTTTAAACAGGAGTTGGGCACAATTGTGGGATTCTATGAACGTTACCGGTAGGACGGACTTATATAATAATAATTAACTTTGCATAGTTTTAATTGCTTTCTTTTTCAGACGTGCACTTATACTTGAAAGAAATCGTCGTGCTGAACAAGAACTTTATTTACAAGAATTACATACTAATAATAATCACCAATAATATGAAGATGCATTAATAGAAATCATCTTAAATGCAATATATACTCGCCTCATATATATTTTATTAATTTTAAGTTTTTATGTATTAATTATAATCAATATTGTTTAGTTTATTATATTAAACAATTTAATTTAGTAAAGCCATGTGCCTGGTGCAGCAAATTTACTCAAACTCTTTAGATTTTAGTTTGTTCACTATTTATGATATATACATAAGTTATTTTTACACTTTCCTACCTAAGTTACATTTGATGTTTTTGTTCTTAATAGCCTTTATATGTTGAAGACACAATAAACTTAATATAATTGTTAAATATTTATTTATTTATTTTATTATATTTTTATTTATTCATTTTAAACTAAACGTGAAAATTAATTGAATGGCACTTTCAGTGACTTAAGTTTAATTTAGATTACTGACCCACTTAATTATTTCCAAACAGCATGTATATGAAACGGAATACAAATATTGAAACGAGCCACTGTATGAACTGTATTCAAGCACAAAGAAAGTCCAATGACTACGGCAATTAAACATAATTACAAGTATATTAAGAAATACCTTTCGATAAGTAACGTGGAGTACTACTTGTGATGCCAAAGGAACGCTGACTGAAGTATGCCAGCTCAGCCAGTACTTGACCTGTTATAAACTTTCGGTACGTATAAAGTATTTTTATTGAATTTATGTCACTGGTTCTTGTTTGAGTTTTCATAACAACTTTTTTCTTTGACACAATAAGCAATCGCAGCAATAATTAATTTAAAAAAAAAATATTTGAAATGGTCTTGCCATAAAACTAGTGTCCAGCATTTTGTTAAACACAAGTTTTAAATTTCACAGAAATTCTAAATTCTAAAAAATCTGGATGACGTTTAGGTATTCATTGTGAGTCTTAATTTCTTGTTAAGAAATCCGGGTATTCGCAAGTCAGCAGTGGATCAATCAGACATTTTCGCGGCTATCTTGCTATTCTTCAATATATTTTTTCCACTCTGCAGATGTCAGATAACCATCGAGCAAGATATGAGCTTATAAATTTAACACTAGTTCACCATAACTAACGCTTTTTACTTCATCACTTTATATTCAATATTATCTATTCTACTTCAATATCTAAGGTTAAGTTGGAGTTTCTGGCTTGTACATTACAGCCATGTACATTATCTGGAGATTATCTAGTGCAATATTTCGGATCTGGACAAGCTTGTTATTTTACCAGAATCTTAGACGGTCAATAGAAGTAGAGCGAAAAGGGTTTTCGTAAGGGTGAAACATAGCATATTTTATATTGTCATAGCTCTTTGAACCTATTTTTATTTAAATAGTTCGTTTATCGGAAGGCCATAAATGTAGGTACTCGTACATGTTTATATTTTTTTCCATAATTCGTATTTTGTTTTGTCTGATTAAGGCTATAAACAAAAACCGCACGATTAGTCAAAAATGTAGACTGACGAAATATTTCTGTACTAAATTCTTCAATAAATTTTGTCGTCATATTTGATAATCGTTTATTTTTACACGAGAAGATAAGATGAACAAAATAAGTATTCAATGCACTTAAGGTATCGATCTGAATAAGAAAATTTATTCCGATTATTTAATAGTCATAATAGTTTAAACAAATTAGTGTTAACTGTTTTATCATCTTTGGGATATACCTATGATATATTTAATTCTAAATCTTTTTCGGCATTGATCATATACATATCATATACATATATATATATATATATATATTATAAAGAACAGTCAGAGCTATTAAAACGTTGTTTTAATTTAGAATTCGTCAGCAGTTTTCCCCCTTGAGTCCGTGAGTTGGTTACGCATTATCTGCATTTGTATTCTTTATTTTTTCTGGAAGTGGGACATCTTGTTTCTCAGTTCAAAGAAAATTGCAATGCTCAGCTTACTAAAGTTTGTTATAATTGATACATCTGGTACATATGAATGGTTCCAATTATTCCTTTAATAATATTATTTACAATACAATATATAAATAATTAAATATAATTTCAGGCATTTTATCTTATTCGTTGTCATTTTTGATGAAATGTATTAGTATTTGTTGTGGGTGTGTAGTAGCTTCCCTAAAAATTTTTTGGGCAGCCTACTTTATTCGGTTTTTTTACAAACAGTAGAACTCCAACAACAACTGTTCTCGAGAATTGGTTAGGGATGACAAATAGCTTTTGTCTTTTTAATAAGAAAGTTTTACTAGTGTTATTTTATTAGAATTTAATTTATAGGAAATAAACGGATACTAGCTTTCAGAGAGCGTAACACTGCTACTGTGATCATTCCCATTTCATAGTCAGACAGTTACAAAGCATATAAGGTCTCATTCACATCCAAACAGATACGACATTCTAGCTCTGCAGACAGACAGATCCTTCTAGTTAATATAATAACGCAGATTATTTTGACTTGTCAGATGCCATTCCAGTAACCAGCGGTTATTGACAGGTTATTTTAGTTTGGCGTTATTTGTAATGCAGCGCTGGTAGTGACTTCCTTCGGCAACATATTAATTTAAAGTGTATAAAGTATATTTTCTTTTTTTTTGGAAAAGTATCAGGCTAGCGTCGATGGGAGTAAGAGCAATGATTTTCAAATAGTAGTGTTTGCTTCAATTTATTAACAATACAATCATTTAACAAATTTAAACTCTAACAAACTAAAAATTCTGAAACAACATAGATATATTTGAATTCAGTATTCAAACTGTTGCGGTATAGTTAGGAACGGATTTTCAACTACTCTTATAATATTATCTCTTGCTTTTAGGTCTTGATCTCTTCTTCGCTGATCTTTAAAGTAGTTGCAGTCAAAAATCTCAAGGTTTTCTTCCATGTTTAAATGTCAGTAGCTGTTATATTTAATATTATTGAACTATAGTGTGAGTCGTCAGCTAATGTATCCAGTGTTGTTCTCCCACTGAAACATCTTTAAAATCTAATTAATTCTAAGATTTTCTTATATGTTTACACGTCGGTATCTGTTGGATTTAATATAATTGAACTAAAGTGATAATCATCAGCTACTGTAGCCAACGACTTTTGTCTTCCCGCTAAAACACGATTTAAATGTCGTTTCACTTAGTTCTCTAATAACTCATGAAGAACATATATGCTCTGCTCTCATCTTCTGTACGCAGTTCTACATTAAATGTATATATGTATCTTGAAACCTACAATTGAATAAAGTGGAGTGTCAAAATTTTTATTTTACGGGTGATACGACAATTTATTAGTTTATTTATAGATAAGAATTGTTCTGCCGCCTTTTTGGCCCGGTACGTAGTACGTAGTGAGTCTATTTTACTGAGACTTGTTTTTGGTAGAAGTCTTCATTCGATTTATTTCGTTCCGTTCCGTTATTACAATTCATTATTAAAACTCGGCTACCGGCAGTGAGTGGTTTTTGCCTGTATCTTACAATTGTGCATCGTAAACAATCAGTCGTGTTGTGCGTGCCAAGACGGTTGTTTCGGTGTCGGACGTAAAAGCTCTCTAAGTGTAGTCCCCAATGAGATAGTTTTGAAAACAATATTAGTTGTTGATATTTAAAAATTTTTTTGATTTTTTTTTAATTAAATATTTTTTAATAATTTAAAATATTTAAAATATTAACAATTGTGAAGTGTGTGCGGCCAGAACCAAATCAAAGAATTTTTTGCAGAATTGACAAATTCGGTATCGAATGATAAGCTAAATAAGCTGAGATAAGCTAAATTAAAAAATTCTAAACTTCATTTTTCAATTTATTTAGTTGTTTAATTTTTCTTCATTGGTTTAGTGACGAAATAAAAATATTTTTTTTGTTTATTGTTGAATATATCGTATAAATCAAATTAAATAAAATTCCCAGTAATTATTGAAGATTTGTTAATGGTAAGAGATGGACCAGTGAAATATGATTTATTTTATATATATATTATAGGCAAATGTGTTTTCACTTTATTTTTAAACCTGTTAACAAATGATTTTTTATCAATTAAACAAAAATAAAATATTTTATCTCGAGCTGCTGACTTCGAGCACTTAGAACAGTTCTTGAATAATCTGTCAATAGCCTTGAATCATAAATAAAACTTGGAAATAAATGTGAACCCCAGCTCTAATATGAGTCTTGAATGAATTAGAAGATATTTTTCAAAATGAATTTATAAATATATTTGTTTAAAGTGTTTACAACGCATTTCTTCAAATCTGTTCATAATTTTTTATTACTTAAATTGTTTATTTAACGATTTCATTTTAATTAATATTTTGTTATTAAAAATTTAAGCAACCTATAGATTCATTCAGGTGCATTTATTATTGTTTCAAATTATTTGTTTATTTGTTATTCTAAACAATAAAACACGAGTTAATCAGAATTTGTTGTTATTTAAATTAAAAATATTAGTTAAAAAAATATTTTGATTTCTCTACCGACAAGTTAACCTTTCGTTCATTAAAAAAATTAAACACAAGGAATTTTTTTTATATATATATATACTTTAATTATGCAATTTTTTTAAAATAATAACTTTGTCAGCTAATTATGTGCATATATTTTATCTGATAGCAGTGAAAAATGTTATGGTTTCAAATTGTTTTTAAAATAGGCGAGATCGACTAAACTGAACGCTATAGGTATATGATTATTCTAAAATTTATTGCAAAAGTTATACGTAGTCACACATAGATTTCTAGCAATATCAAATGCAGCAAAACACTCATGTAGATTTATAGTAGGCATCATGCAGGATATATATGATTACTATTAGTAATTCCAATCTTGTATGTATGTGGTGGCGTTAGTAGACTTTGGTCAGTCAGCATACCAATGATAGTTCTGCGATCTTTCTATGATAGTGCTAGTACAAATCAAGTCGTCTTATCTTATCATCAAAGTAATATTTATAATTTTATGTACAATATAATTACTAACATTAGGTTAAGTTGATCTGGCTGGCAATTCCAGATGGGACAAAAACTCTATGTAGATTTATAGTAGACATCAGGTACTATTTTGACGTGAATACATTTTTATTAATGTAATATACTATATAAATGAAAATAAATACTTTTATAGTAATAGTAATCAATGAACTAAAGTGTCAAGCGTCGTCAGTTGTATTTTATTGGTATATATTACCCTTGAAGGTTTAGGACTGACTATGTTTACAATATAAATGTTAACTAAGAAATTAAATTAATAAGCAAGTAAATCTCTATATTATGTTCGCAATATATATTCTGTACTATAGTTTAATAACCAAATAAAGTTTAAAGGGATATTTTCTTTTTATTTATCTATTAATTGATTGGTAAATACGAAATTCAAATACTACCTATAGAAAAATGCGCCATATATTAGACTAGTTCATTTTTTAGATTATATATATATTCTATATATTTTCACCATAGTTATCAGATATTAACTTGAATAAATTAAGCTTTAATTTAATTACTTAATGATAATTACTAATCATCCGAAAGTATTCTTCAGCGATCAAAGACAAAAATCAAAGAATCACTTTTGATTATGTGAAAAAAAAAATTTGCTAATTAATTGTTATAAAATTTGGTCTGATCGGTCTGACCGATCACTTATACTTTTTTAGTCACTTTCATTTTCGGTTTTGGCGATCATTATCATATTAGA